AATTTAATAAACTATCATCTTGTCTTTATTTTTAGTTAGCACAAACACTTAAAGCTGTAAGCTAATGATAGTTATATAAGAGCAGATGCTGCTGGTGCAATAAGCTGTACGTTTTACGTCCAATGGATGATGATCTGATTAGTCGACTATCAAAATAATGGTTTGTGGCAGCCCTAGTTCTTATTGATCTCAGTATCTAATTATTTCATTGTAAGGTTTGAAGCTCATGCTGTGGTCTGAATAGTTGAGTAAGTGGAGCGTGTAAAGTGATGAAGGATGCTACGACTCCATGTTGTCACGTCATATGAGTGTTAGAAATCCGACTGTCTGCTCTTTCAGTTTTAATGAAACTCAAATATTCCAAAAGCTCTGGACGGATCAGTGACTGATGAGTCATTGCTAAGCTCAAAACAAGACAACCTCTTCCTCTGCTCATCTTTGTTGTGATGTTTGCAGGTCAAAGCTGGATTAAAGCTCCTGAGCTCAGGACGTGTTTGTGTCAGAGACGCTCTGTCGTCACAGCTTCTCTCAACAGTCACTCAAAACGTTGCTTCCAGTCATCTGCGTGTTCAGACAAAACAACGCAGTCGCTCTGACACTCGGATTCCACATTCCTGGGTAGTTTTTTTTTTTTTTTTTTTTAAATCCTCTTCCTCTGCTGCTACTGGTCCGTTTCCAGTACAGGAAGCTTCTATGAACTCAGGAATCTGGCTTTTATTTTATTACAACTTTGCTTCCAGCAACAAAATGAAACCACTGATGCCTGAGATGAATAACACCGATTATCTCGTTACAATCAGCCTCCTGGTGTGTCCTGGTGTGGGATTTTTAACACAGCAGGTGAGCAGTCAGCTGTTCGAGGTGATGCCCTGGAGGCAGGTAAAAGGCCAGTGAGTGATTAGGGCAGGGGTCACGTTGCACACAGTGATCCAAGGAAGGATGACAGGTGAAGCAGCCAGTATGCTCAGAGCCCACATAAGGGTTACTGCAGCACAAAGGAGCCAGATCACTCCACCTCCACCTACAATGAGCACAGAGCCAGGCCAAGGTGGTGTCCCGGTCTGATGAATTACTTTTCCTTTTCCATTGTTTACCTGGAGAGGAGATGGAAGCAGGATGTACTACAGGAAGTGTGTGTGTGTGTGTGTGTGTGTGTCTGCGGGGAAAGTATAGGTCCTTAGATTGAGACCACATTCATCTTCCCTTCATGGCAGCGTCCTCTTTTGTTCAGGGATCATTTGGGTCGATTGTGGATCCGTTAACAGCTAAAACTAGGAAGATTATTCAAAAAGCTGCAGATGCATAAACTGGATCTTGTAATAGTGCAAACCTATCGATCTATTAGTACAAAATCATGTTATTCATTAGATGACTGCATTAAAACTGCGTCCAAAGGCTCCACAGCACAGACACTGCAGAGGTTACAAGAGCTGAAACTGAGCAGACAGCTGGCAGCTACAGCCACCTGCGTCACTGCAGCCACGCACTGATTTATTCTAAGCTTTACGTGGTTTGTCCTCCTTTAAAGTTCGATGAGGCCAATTGTGATTCGCTTCCTGTGTGATGTCATACCGAGGATGAAACACGTGTTGTAGTTTGGTTCCGACGGCTCCAGCAGGCACTTCTTGCTGATCACGGTGATGTTTCCCCGCTGCAGGATGTTGAACGAGGCCACCACGTCTCTGTAGATGTCTGAGGCGTAACCCGACCCGTTCACCTGGACCGCCACCGTGACCGGAACTATTGGGACAGAGCGTCACGCTGGTCACCGCTCACAGTGAAAACGCAGGGTGTTTTTGGCAGGTGTGCTGGCTCACCTCTGGCCACGATGTCCTCCGTCACCTGGTGGTGCACCTGATCCAGAATCCAGAACACCAGGAAGTCCAGCGCCACCAGCAGGCTGCCTACGATCAGGTGCCTGAAGACCGAAACCAAGCCCGCCATCACCGCCTGCTGCTCTCTGTACGTCAGCTGAAATGACACTGCAGGACAGACGCGTCAGATCGCTTCGATGAACATCGCTGATCCACGAACCATGACATCGTCCAGCACCTGCTGTGTACCTGTCACACAAGCTAACAAACAAACCCACACACACGGATGTACTCACGTGGTGTGATGTAGGTCTTGGCCTCTCTGCGCGTGATTGGAAACACAGAGGCTCCGCCTACTGAGGTCACCCTTTGGTCAAGGTCTTTAAACTGAGCAGTGATGTAGTTGTTATCAAATTCAATATTGTGGAGGTACCTGTGTCTGTACTGCACTGCCCTGCAGACACACAACCACATCAACACCCATCAGCAACAATCAGCATCGAGGTTAACGCAAAGCAACGCTCGTGGAAATAAAGTGAAGTGTAAAGAGTGAGACGAGGGGAAAAAGTCAAATAAGGAAGCTCGTGGAGTAAAAATGCCACAAAGAGCTGAACATGATAAAGTGGATCGATGAAGCGAAATGAAACTGAATAAAAAAGGAAAGGAGCAGAGCGATGTGAGAAGACGATGCAGAGCTGAAAAACTGCAGCGATGAGGTTACAGATGAGTCTCTGCTGCACAGATGTTGCTGCGTGAGCTATGAAAGACTTCCTGAATCGTCCTCGTGTAGCTGAAGTAAACTGAAGCATGTGATTTGCATTTGGCTAAAGTGACCTAAAGCATGCAGAGTATGTGCAGATGTCATGAACTAAAGAACGCAAATGAACCAAACTGAATCAGGCAGCTCAAGTAAGCTGACGCCTGTGGATCAGGGAGACCGAGCGGCGCATGTGGAGCGAAAACAGAGAAATAATAAAACATTTCCCTGCTTATTTGCATTTTTCACACTTGCAGATCATCAAACAGATTTTAATGTGATCAATAATGATTTGGTTTACAGGGAGGAAGCTCTCCAAACCCACCTGTGTGAAGAAGTAACTCCACCCTAAACCTAACACCTGGTTGTGCGACCATAACTGACGCTGAGCAATGAGTGCTTCACGTCGCTGTGGAGGAAGCGTGCCACGCTCTTCTTTGCAGAATTATTTGAATTCAGTCACATTAGAGGGTTTTCCAGCAGGAACAGCCTCTTCAAAGCATTTTAGGCGCCACACGATGCCGTGTTCCTGATCACCGTCCTGATGGTGGAAGGTTCGCCTTCATCCTGGTCGAGAGCAGAATCCATGGTTCCACCAGTTACAGCGACTCTGACCTCACCTGATGCGAGTGAGGCCTGCGGTTCTTTAGATGTTGTTCTGGGTTCTTTTGTGACCTCCCAGATGAGCCACTGATGCGTTCCCAAAGTAATTTTGGTCGACCAAAGTTTTACAGGCTTAGAAACGGATCTGCAACCCTCTCCAGACTGATGGATGTCAGCGACTTTGTGTCTCAGCTCTTTCTTTCGATCGAGGAATGATTTGCTGCTGTTTGGGATCTTTTGGCGTGCTTCGCTCTGTCAGATGCGCTTTGTCTAAGTCAGGGGTGTCCAACTCCAGTCTACTGTCTGCAGCTTTTAGATGCATCCCTGCTCCAACACAGCTGAATCAAATTGCTTGGATCATCTCTTCAGCACGCCATCAAGTTCAGCAAAGGCCTGATAACAAGCCATTCATTTGTGTGTCGAAACAAGGATGCGTCTAAACGCTGCAGGACGGTAGCTCTGAAGGACACCGCTGGTTTAAGTGATCAGCCCCGGTGTGGCCGTGAAACTGAACTCATGAGTTAAGTTTTATTGTTTTATTGTAAAATGCATCTATTTTGATTGTAAGCCCAACAAGGGACAATTGTTGAAAATTAGCAATAGCTATAAACTTGTGTATTACATCAGTTTCCTGTTTTGTACTTGGACTCAGTTAAGCTGCACTGTCCCTTTTAAATAAATAGATTCAAGGAGGGGACGAATACTTGTGGTGTGACTGAAGGATTTTAAAGTGTTGCGTTGCATCTATTAGATGAACTGAAGCATGTGCACTGTGTGGAGCAACTGAAGTGTGCAGCTGTTGTACATTAGATAGATTCAGTGAACCAAGTGTGTAGATGTGAGAAGAGTCCCGACCTGAGGAAGGAGCAGGCGAGCAGGACGAGGCCGATGTACGCCAGCGGTCCACTCAGCTTCTGAAACACTTGAAGTTCCGATGAAATCTCCGACATGATGCTCTGAGACATCTGGTGCAGAGACTGGCTGCTGTTGGCATCCAGGTCAAAGTCCAGTGAGGCGGAGATGTTGAACTCAAACTCACGCTTCATCTTCTGAAACACTGCAATGACAGCTGAAAGAGGCAGGAGTCAGCCTCTGTGCGCCCGGCAGTAAAGGCTAAACAATAAAGAGGAAATGGACTCACGAGCCGCGAGACGTTTCTTCAGGTGGTCGGCGATGTAGGAAGGGACGATGCAGAAGAACTCGCCAGCTGAAAGACCAACAGTGAGACGATTACAGAGACGTAAAGATGAACGTGAGAGCAAATACAGAGTTTGGACTCTTTGGTTTTTAAGGCCACGCTGACATTAGAATAAAATCATTGAAATAAGTGAAAAGTGTCCTGGACGGTGAACAGTAGATCTTGTCCGACACTCCTTTTCCACGTTTTATTCTTTAAGTCTCAGAGATTACAGCCTGACCTTCTGTAACTTTGATATTTGTGCCTCTGAGGGTTAACGTCCACACAAGGACCGGGATACGTGGACGCACCGCGGGCCAGGTTGCAGAGCGGCAGGAAGCCGTCCACGATGTTGCACAGGAAGTTGAAGTCGCCCAGCAGCTCAGAGCAGTCGCTTCGAGCTTCCTCAAACAGTGACCGGCACTTCCTGTACGGAGTTCCCATCTTTTCGTTACAGATGTCCCCGATATCGGCCAGGAAGCGTAGGACATTCCTCAGCGCGCGAGCTGCAGGGTCAGAGGTCAGAGGTGTAAGGTGAGTATCTGCAGGCGTATGGCAAACATGGTCGGTCAGACACACACTGTCTCCTATAAGGCCTCAGCCCGCCCACAGTGCTACACACCTCAGGCCCAGCCTCCTTCCTTTACCAAACACAGAAACAACTTAAAATCTGATGTCAGCGACACCTGTTCTGTTCTGGGCGGGGCCTGCAGCTCTCTGAGAGTGTGGATCCCCAGGTATGCACATGGAAGGTGTGAAACTGCAGCCAACTGTAAATGACTGTGGGTGAAACCATCAGTCCTCTTTAACACAGGGCTGCACTTCCTGCCTTCACAGCATGGTTCGGGTCAGTTTTCCTTCATCTACACCAAATGAGAAAGTCTGAATACATGCTTTTACAATCTTATGACCCTCTGAGGCGTCTTTGATGTTTGTTAGCTCAGTGAAAGTGTTTTCTAATTGGTTCATTTTGTTATGTCACAGGTGCAAAGCTTGCATTTATATTGCATGTACACTTCATCTGTTTCACAGTCACGGCCACTTTCGAATGACTAACTTGTCTTTGGGACAGAAAGAAACGTACAAACTGTGCACAGACATGCCCCGGCTGGGATTTGAACCAGGAACCTTCTGTCTGTGAGGATATAGTGCTGACCACTGTCGCACCATGCACTGGATCTGGTGGCTGCATCTGCAGGAACTGCTGTCCCATATCAGCTGGTTAAAGAGGCTGCCTTACCAACATGGCGGATGCTGTCTGTCATAGCGTAGATGAAGTTCTGGACTCTTCCTGCGACGGCGTACGCGTTTCTGCTGATCTCCCTGATGTGGTCCAACACGGCTGCAAACCAACAAAAACACTGACGCTCACAGCTCGCCACATTCATCTGATTTGTGACTGGATCAGAAAGAATTATATGAATCCATGAAACTGGATAAAAACGGCAGCAACTGATATAAAATTCACATTTTGTTTAAAATTCTATTAAATTTCAATATGAAACACGAGTGGTAAATTTTTAGGAGCACTGGCGGCTGTAACTGCAGTGGGTGTGGGGGCGGGTCTTACAGAAGAGGGGCGTGGCTGCTTTCTGCATCAGTTCCTGCGTTTGATTGGCTGCCAGCTCAGCTCCACACAGCAGGCTGGAGGCGGCTCGCTCGGTGTTCTCCAACGTGTTGCTGAGCGGACCGGACACGAGCAGCGACACGAACATGAGGAGAAGGAAGTTCCTGCCATGACCTGAAACACAGGAAGAGAAGCGCTGTGACGGCGTGGACCTGGCGTCTAATTCAGAAGCTCTGATTGTCCACCTCTAATCGGGAATAGTGACTCTGCTGGGAACTCCATGTTTATTTGGGACCTTGGGATTCAACCTCCACTTCAGAGCTCG